GAGACCCCTGGGGGGACGGATAACTCGGGCTGAGCAGCCGACAACTCTAGATTGCCAGATGGAGCGCCGAGAAGCGCCATGATTCGAGCACCCGAATTGGGGTTCGAATTGGAGGTGCTACTGTTGTTGTTGCTAGGGTTGGAAGGGGCCGTGGCAATGTTGTAAGTAGAGGGGGGTTGGAGGGGTGGCGTGGGAAATGAGAGAGACCTCTGGTGGAGCAAGTGGTGGTCTTGAGGAGAGTAAGGGATTTGGGGATGGTTACTGTGGGGGTGGGGCTGAGGGTGAGGGTGGTATTGGAATTGGTGGTGGTGAAACGGTGCCGTCTGGGGAGGGTACGAGTAAGGGCCAGAGGGCGGGGGGAAAGAGGCGGGTGGGATTGGGAACGAAGAGGAACTCAAATTAGGGTTAGGGTTTTGGTTTGAATTGTTCTGGGTTTGGGATTGGGGCGAGAGTGGCGTTGGGTTTGTGGGTTTAAAGAATTTCTGCATGTCGAAGGGTTGGGGTTGCTGCTGGGGCGGTGGATTTGGATTCCCAGAAGAAGCCATGGGAGAACAGCAGATCTATATATCTCTCTGAAAGTGAATTGCAATTGCAGAGTGGGATTCGATTTCCTTCTTCTTTTGGTTGTAAGAAAAGGGAAATGGATTTTAGAGAGAGAGATGGGAATTGAGAATCAGGGGATTTGCAGAGAGTGGGATCTGAATAGAGTGAATGAGCAAAGATGAGAGAGAGAGAGAGAGAGAGAGAGGAGGAGGCCTTGAAAAGCCGAAAATAATTAAAACCCAATGAGGAGGAGGACTTTGGAGTGAAGAAGTGGGGACTTGGAAGAGACCAAATATAAGTGAAAAAAGGTGATCGAGAATTTATGAATATTGCAGTTTGGGCTTGGAGCTTTTGGAATATACCAATGGCCACCCTATATTATTTACGTATATGATGATATTTTTGTGATATTTTCCTCTCTTTTTTCTCATGTCTGATAAAAATTTAATTGGAAATTATAAAACTGCTCCACCCAATAAAAACTTGGAGCTACTTTTTCTTAGAATTTTAGAAACAAAACCGTCTCGAGACCTTATAAGATGCATGTTCGAACCTCTTGGGTGTAGTACAACCATCTCGAGCGTTCATATAAACTTATTTCACTATCTTTTAAAAATTCTCAAATGAATTTGTTAAATTTTTTATTTTTTTGTTAGTGAAGTGGTTAGTTTGATAATTGCTTTTTCGGTAAGAAATTACGAATGATGGCACATGTAGTTGTGATTTTTGGATTTTTGTTTTATTCAAAAATCACCTTTTGTGCTTTTAAAAAAATAAAAATGAAAAAAACTTTTGTGCTGTGTCATGACTGTCGACAAAAGAATTGGGCTGCAGGTTAGCTGGCTGCTTTTTGGGCTTACCCTTAGTAAATTTTTTGGCCTGGGCTTAATCTTAGTAATTGTTTTGGTCTAGGCTTAATCTCGATATGGGTTGCAGATTTTAGAAGCTTTCCCGGGCTGTCTTATTAATGGGCTCCAAAAGGAGACCCATGTGTAACTTATTTATGGGCTTCATGGAACTTCGGTATTCATTCTAGATTATTTCTCTTATTAATGAGCTCTAAATAATTTAGAAGGTTCTTTTTCATTGTGTCAACGGTGTCTAGCCTAATGAAAAAATGACATTTTATTGAGTATTAGTAGTCTCATGTTCGAACTTCTATGACACTTCTGTAATGTGTGTGAGAAAATCTCTCTCACACTTCCTGACTTTGGCCAAAAGAAAAAAAAACATTTAATTACAACAAAGAAAAACAATTCAGGATAAGTTGAAACTTTGAAGAAAAAATTATGGGTTCGTACTTAGGCCTAATATTTAATTGAAACAACTTGTTGGAGAAGAGTATGGTGCAGTTAAAGAGACCAAATTTTCTCATCAAATGTGTTATTATTTTACGTTATTCATCCAAATTTGGGCCTACCAAAATTCTATGAAAACACTCCACGTCATCAACGTCCAAAAGCAAACCGTCTTTCTTGTTTAGAGGAAAAGAGGAAAATAACAGATACCCTTTTATTTTGCTTTCTATTATCCAACCCATTAAAAAGGCAAAATTCGAATCCCATATGCCCATATGCATTTCATTTTGCTTTCCTTTTAAGCGAACGATACCCATTAGCGTCAAAGCGTTTCCATTCTCTATCGCCGATAAGGACGTCGAAAGCCCTACTCCCCCAACATTTATCAGAACCCAGATAAAAACCCATCTCCCAAATCCCAAGATCTCAAACAGCGAACCCTTTTTTTGGGTCTGAAATTCCAGAGAAAAAGAGATTCGAAGCACTCGAAGGGAAGCAAAGATGTGCTGCTGTCCAAGCAGAGTTTGCATGCTGTGCACTTGTTTGATACTGGTGGTGGTTTTGGTGGGGCTTTTGTTTGGGTTTGGAGTGTTCAAGAATGGCTTCCACAAGCTCAAAGATACTGTGAATTTCTGTGATCCGAATGTTCATGGATCCTATTGTGGGTCTACTGGAAGACCCTTCTTGGGTTACACTGCACCTGCACCTTTCTAAGGGGGTTTCTTTAATTCTCTTGTTTTTCTATGTAATTTGTTTATCTTTTTCTGTTCTTGGTTTTATTTTGAATTTTTAGTTTTTAGGTTTGGTTTTTTTATTGCTGGTAATCTGGGTTACTGGGTGTCTGCTGCTGCACTAGGGATTTGGGTTGTTCTTGGAATTTAGGATTATTTGTATTTTGCCCCCTCCCAGTTTATTATTTTATTGGTTATGTTTATTTTAGTGGACCTTGATTTGTGTGTGGCAGATTCCTCTGATACTTTTTGTATATTAATTTGATTACAATATGTCAAGATTATAAATTGTTTTTCCAATTTTCAGCATTGAACTTTTAAATTTCAAAAGAAGAAATCTGGTTTTGCACCACATTATATTCTCATCATTCCATAACGGTCACAAAGAGCCTTGAAGCTCTCAAGAAAATTATGGGCTTCTGGCACAACACTTTAGCCTCTTTGCATTTTGGTTTTTGCGTCAACTTTTATTCCCATGAGAAAGGGAATGGTACATTACATTAATAAATATAATCTCAATATACTATTTGATAATGTAGATATTGTCTCGATATATTATTGATAATGTCGATATTATCCTATTATTTCGATGGCAAATTAACTCTGCAATGACATCATAAAACATAAGTATTATTCTGATATTGTTAATTTGCTTCAATAAGGGCCCGTTTGGTAACGTTTCGGAGAATATTTTTTGAGAATGAAAACAAGAAAATGAATTTGCATTTTCAGGATTCGAAAATGCGTCTGGTAGATTAATTAGAAAATAGATTTAGAAAATAAAAACAGTGAAAACGTATCTAATAGGACAATTTGAGAATAATAATATGTGAGTTATTTTTCATGCATATTTTTGCTCATTTTTGTTCTGAAAAAATATTTAAAATAAAGGCTAAAATTTTTATGAGTTAAACAATGAGAAATGTATAATTTGAGAATAATAATTAAAAAATTCTAATGTTAGAAAAACCTAGGTAATAAAATTCTATTATCTTTAATTTAAAATAAATATGAAATTGAATAATATATGATGGTTTTGGCATAAAATTAATATACACTAGTGTAACAAAATAAAATAATGAAGTGCAACGGAAAAAATGAAAAAATGAAAAAAGAAAAATGAGACCAACAAAAATAAAATAAAAAACCAATACATAGGGTAGAAAATGAAAACAATAATTTGGTGTTTCAGTTTCTATTTATGATTTTGAATTTGTTTTCATAAAACGAATTCCAATGAAAATGAAAACGACGTACCAAACACGTTTTTGGTAGAAAATGAAAACGGGCCTTGAAAACTTTACCAAACAGCCCATTAGTTGAGAACTTTGTTAACCAAATTGTGTTTTTTTGAGAGCGTCCTCTATAATTTTCTATTGTGTGCAAAAAGGAAAAGTAGACGCTAAGGAAGAGAAATAGAGGTTGCCCGTGTGTTTGGTCGATCTGAGATTCAGAATTGGTGGGTTAGTTTTTGGTTTTCACTTGGTAGGTTCCTTTTCGTGTTTGTGGCTATTGGTAGCTTCTTCTTTTTTTATTTATTTTAAGATTTATACATTTCTTTATGAACATGGCATGTTGATTTGGGTTAAATTTTGGCGGAGTCCTTTTGTCACATAGAACATCAAATTGTTGTTCATATGTCAGATCCTCTTGGGCAAGCTAGTAAACATCAACTAACATGGATGGAAAGTTTAAAGCTGAGGCTTTAGGGTTTGAGGTTTGGGGCCCAATTTGGATCAGTCTTTGGGCCTAATATTGTTCAAGTATGCGAATTGAAAAGAAAATGCAAATTCAACCTTTAGATTTTACCCAAGTGAAATGCACCACATTAGGAATAGGTCCTTAGGTTATGCTTAATAATTTCTCTAAAAGAAGGACGAAATCAAAGTAACAAGCTAGTCAAAACATGTCAAGTTTGTTAGTTTTGGATAGAATTTACTTGGATTTGAGAAAAACAATTAAAAGACAATGTTCCTTTTACAAGATTTAATAGTGGCCACAAAGTCATAATATTTCTTTTTTTTCTCGGGAAATAATTTGAAAGGCGTATAAGAAACGAGGGTATTTGTCAACCGATTTCTACAAACACGGACATACGCGTATCATACAAAAATTTACTAATTATACTATTAGCGAATCCTTTAAAGCGAAAAACACATTGTCATAAGCATTTGCGTTCCCTACCTCCAGGGAATTCCAAGTTCACGTGCAAAAAAACCTTTCGTTTGGCCAAAGGGAAAAAGAGAAATCTTTTGTTTGGCCAAATACAAGACAAAGAAAAGAAAAAAGAGAGAGAAAGAGAAAACCCTCTTCTCTCTTCTTGGATCTTAATCTTGAAAAAACAGAAAAGAAAAGGAGAAAGAGAAGCAAAGATGTGCTGCATTGGGTGTATTGCTAGAATTTGCATGTGCATTTTCTGCTCTGCGATTCTGACAATAGCAATCTGCTTGCTATTTGGGTTGGGGCCAGTGAAGAGGTTCACCATTATAAAGACCAGTCACTTCCAGGATAGCTGTGAGCCAAGCATGTATGGCTCACTGTGCAGGCCTGGAAGACCCTTCTTTGACATGGCGCCTCCGTCCTTCTTGGATCAAGTTGCACCTTCACCATTCTAAAGGGTTTTCTTCTTGTTAATGTTATACAATATGCAATCTATTTGTTATCTTTCTCTGTTCTTTTTAATTTGTTTTTTTTATTATTTTTTTATTTTTTGGGGTTGCTAGAGGTTTGATTTTGTATTGTTGTTGGTAAATATGGGTTTCAGGGCTACGTTGTACTTGTGGATGATGGATCAAAGAGGATCTTGGAATTTAATAAAACTATTTTTACCATGTAAGTATGCTTGATTTGTATTGACCACATTTGGAGGGATTATGTGTGAGTGTGTGAGGTTGTGCTTAGCAAAACATTAATTTCTTGTCAATTGAGAAAACTTCTCATGGCCCCGATGAAAAAGGACAAGAAGAAGAAATGGTAATCTCCCTTGTTATGCTCAACCATAACCATAATTCACTTCACCTAATTTAACCAAATAAAATTGTCCCAGATCATATTTCATACTGAAAAATTCATCTCTTTATAAATGTGTGTGTGTGTGTTTTTTTTTTGTCTAAAGTTGTTTGAGCTCACAAGTCCAGGGTTTACTTCATGTTACGGAATGAGGTTTTTTAGTCGTCCGTGATATTAGGAATCCTTCCACAAGCTAAAAACAAGATTCTTAATGGGTGGTTTTCAATTAATTGGAGGGCAAGGAAAGTGCCACAAGCTCCGCCTCAAGTACTTCCTCCCCACACTGCAAATTAGAACAAAAACTACGGAGAGATACATCCGCAACACGAGCTATTATAATTTTGTCATGTTCCCTTACATGAAACGAAACTAGTATTGGAATTATTCCCCTAACTTCTTTAAGCACACATGTTGGAGAACACGTTACACGAATAATTCTCTGATTTGGCCCAAAATAATATATGCACCAAAAAAAATTGAAATTCGTCGATGTATGTAAGATGACATGGTAGTTGGTTGTTAACAACAGCAAAAAGAAGAAGTTAGGATTAACTAACAGGAAGAATAAGGAGGAGACAAAATTTTGCACATCTTTAAATAAGAAGAAGAAGATGGAAGGCAGCATTTTGCATGAAAATTACAGGTATTTCATCAAGAAGAGACCAAAAAAAAAAAAAAAAAAGATTTGGTGCATGTGAAGATAGTGAATCGTTGAAAGATCGATGTATGTGAAAAATTAAGGAAAACAAAATGATATTTGATATCTGAAGTTATAACTAAAGTATAGTAAGTTAGGGACTAATTTGTTTAATGAATACGCAAATATCATTAATATAATAGAAAAAATTATTATTATTTCTAGCCCTTTTTTTTTTCAATATAATTATAACATACTTTTTTAAAAAAATATTTGTTATACAAACAATATTGGGGAAGGAGGAATCAAACCCAAGACCTCGAGTGCATGGGTAAATACTCTTAACTACTTGAGTTACAATTTCTTTGAAGTATAGCATACTCGAGCCTCTGCATTTAGCATCGGTGCATTTGTGTGCATTTACTAAAATCTTTACTATTTGATTAATCTCATGAGGTTAATTAATCCACATTAGCATAGTTATATTACTTTAAAAAATCACGTTGTACCGTATCACCCCTTTCACAACCTCTCTCTCTCACGTCTCCCTCTTCCCAGTCTCCTAGATTTCCATGGCTATCATTGCTCAACGGTCCAACCCTAAGAGCATTTCCAGCAAGCAGGCTGGGGGGAGGGCTGGGGGGGGCTGGGGGAAAATCTTGTTTCCAGCAACCCAAAGCTGCCAGGGCAAGGTGTGGGCCCCAGAAAAAAAAATTTGCCTGGGCTAGCCCTCGGGCAGGTCCATCCCGAGCAGCAAAACGAGTTTTGGGCCGACGTCAGCGCGCTAACGTCACGACGACGTCAACGCAGCTGTTAAATTTTTTTTAACGTTGGCGCGCGGCACGTACGCGCCACCA